ACACACACACACACACACACACACACACACACACACACACACACACACACACACACACACACACACACACACACACACACACACATATATATATACACACACACAAGTATATACGTCCGACGAGATTTCTGTCAAATGTGTTTTATAGATAGAGCGGATTAAATAAATTATCGAATATTGGTCTTCAATAATTTTTTACTCAAATCAGAACTTTACAGAAAAATAACAATAAATAAAAATTGTTTATTTTCTTCTTATAGAGCTCTAAAAATTTTTTCAAAACTTTTTAGTAATGCTTTTTTTATTGGCAACTTCTTATCAACATGAGAAAATATGAAAAAATTCTCAAAACTTTATAAAAAGAAAATAAGCAATTTTTATCTCTTGTTGTTTTTCTAAATAAAGTTGATAGTATTTGAATAAAAAAATATTGAAGACCAATATTCAACTTTTAGTAATTATCTCGTTAACCATTGCGTTAACCATCAAAAATTGCAAAATGGTAGAGGACTTTTCGATTCATCTCAGTCAGTTTAGTCCACTTCATCTCACAAAAAGTGTTTAATAGAAGGCTCGTCGGACATTCTGTACGCGCACGCACACACGCACGCACGCACATATATGAGTATGTATTATATATAACGGGAACAATATTTTATAGTAATCAAAATAATATTCTTGATACATTTTCAATATTATATAACAAAAATATATATGACATTGTGTATTGAAAAATACAATGTATATTTTGTACCTTTTCTTCTTTTTCATCATCAATAAGAATGGGACCATTTTCAGCCTCAAATTCTTTCAGTACTGCATCCAAATTATATCTTCGTCGATAGTTCACGAAAAATGATCGTAAATGGGCTTCAGTTTTGGTACCAATAACTTCAGCAATTGCGGCAAAATCCTTTCCATATTTTCTAATGCCTTGAACCGCTAATAGCAATTCATCATTTGTCCAGCGTGCATTTATACGGCCTGACACTTCCGGCGGTCGTAGATGGTCGATACCATCCGTTGTCTTTCGCTTCAGTGCACTTACTTGTTGTTTGTTAGCTTGTATCTGTGCGATTTCGAAAATTATATAATATTATAAGTTACACAATATATACAAGTAAGAATTAAAGCCTATAACGGTTGAACACAATTATATAAAGCATAATTAATTATATTTTTATTTTTAATATTTTATTTTTAATTATTAATTATATTATATTTTAATTAAAGAGATTATAAAATGCATTGGTCACGAAAGCATTGTTGCATCTGCAATCCTACATTTAAGACTTTTATTCTACTTTATAACATTTCTTTAAAATATTTCAGTATAACACATACCTTAATTGTTAACAGTTTCAAATGGGAGTATTTGCATATGCTTTCATGATTCATTACGACGATATAAAAAATAAAGAAAAATGTATCCACACGTTATATTTTTATAGGCTTTTTTTTTGTACTTGTTAACATACTTGACGTTTTAAGCTAACGATCTCAGTGTCGATAGCTTGCAAACTGTTGTTGGCTTGATTTGGTTGACCAGCCAACGCCGCCAAATCATCATGATTCACAACTAAGCCCCGGGGTGGTTTTCTTTTATTCGTACGACCCGGCATGGAAGTTAACGGTCTTGCTACACCGGTACGCCTAAACCATCAAAAAACGTAGAATGATTTTAAGAATCTGAACATGAGGCTGGTCTATATTGTATGTCAATGTCATTAAGATCAATTGTATGTCAATAAATATCATTAATAAAGATATATACAGTTTAAAACAAAATACGGAATAAGCGAGTTTCCAAGGATATTCATTAATTTTAATTGCTTAAAAACGAAAAAATATATGCGTTTATCTGTAAAAAGAGATATTTCGAATAAGCATTACTGCATTGGAAAAAGACTCAATTCAGTTCCAGTAACTTTTTCATGTGAATATCCTTTCCGGCGCTTATTGAGTTGTGTAACAATAATTTATCTATTCGCAATCATTGGCATTGACATTTAATTTACGTTCACTGTTTAATTTACCTCCAATGTAGATAGCAGCTATGACACGCATGTCCCTTGGGCGTCGCACGAACACTATGGCATGCGATGCCACAGTTGCTACACGAGCCCTACAACACATAACACCCTTTTAAAACAAAAATTTTGATAACCCCCCTACCCATAAATTTCTATTTTTTAATTCATTATCATTTATCATCTCCGAGTGCTAAGAATTAATTAGAAAAAAATCATTAAAGTAATGTGTCCCGTTTATCAATAAGTCAATTTTCGTATTTTCTTAAAATTCGCTCAACTGTGGTAGTATTAGTCGAATTAATTCCATAAGCTAAATATTTCATAATTCGTATTTTTTTGCTTTATTTCCTTAGTAAAATGTCAATTAATTTTGACGTTACGAGGAATATTACGAGCAATTTTAATATCACAATTTTTAACGAGAGAACACACACACACACACACACACACACACACACACACACACATACACACATATATATATACACACACGTATATATGTATATAGGCCAGTGTAGCAACAATACACGTGATACATTGAAGAATAGCAAAACATAGTAGTAAAGCTAAGCTAACTATACTATATATGCGAGTGGGTAAGGTTTAGGTTGAGTACCTGAACCTGAGGGGCGTTTTCCGAGTCGGATGGGGCCTTAGCATCAGTGCCTTGGCTTCCTGGCACAGCTTGGTTCTTTCCACGACGTATTCCGCGGTGGATCGTCCATTTCTGGAACGTTCCATTTACGTTCATATATCGACATAACGTCCAACTAAATTATTATTTATTTTTACGTGTAACATATTTATATAAATTGAATAGAATTTTTTTATCATGTAGAATTGTAAAATTTTGAAATTTTTAACTTATTAAATTTTGTATCCTATATGTATAGATTTTATAGTAATAATCTACTAGCTTCTCTTATTACCATTGGCATTATAATAACATAGCTCGGTTTTCCTGCTTTCATTATACATAATGGTATCGTGTGGATACATTTTTGGAACATGCATAGCAAATTTCCAGTTATGATTCTTTATATTCATACCAATTTGTGCCATGATAGCATATTTATTTGTAAAATAATTGTGTGGAATAGCCAGAGCAGTAAGCTTATACACGAAAAAATATATTTATTACAGAATTAAGGAAAGAAGGGATGTATTAACATATTAAATATTATAAAGAACTATAGAAAAAAAAACAAATAGAATTATTCTCTACAATTATTATGTTTAATATTATTTATTTTCTGTTTTAGATTTCGCTCCTTTATATTTATCTATATGTTAAATGACAAAAAAAAAGGAAAAAAATAGACAAAACAATTTTTTTATATTAGAATAGAGCGCATGCACAAAAATTTATTGTTGAAATTATCTTCAAAGAATCCTTACTTTTTCTTCGGATTCGCTATCTGTGTTGGAACCAAGCTCACTTCCATTTTCGCTGCCATTTTCACCTTCTTTGCAGCCGCTCGTCAATTTACGTGCTTGCCTGTCCATCAATGATGTTCTAGTTCGTGTCTTCTTCCAGCTGTAGTAGTATTTCACAAGACTTGCGATAGATTTATCAGGTAACTGTATAAAAATTATTGAGAATAATCATTTATATTAATCTCAATATTTAATGTAATTTGATTTGTTAGATAAAAGCTAGAAATTAAAAATTATAGAAGATATAAAAAGATGAAACTTTTTTATATCTTCTTTCCTTCTCTTTCTTCTTTATTATTGACAAATTTAATTTTTTGAAATTTTCAGTTATTTTTTTATAAACATATATGAAACTTGGAAATATTTGATATACATGTCTACTTCAAAGCATCTGCAATGTTACACCAACATATAAATATGTATAATTATAATCATTATATATTTTGTCAATAAAAAAGAATCTATAAATAATGGTCAATTATTGTTTTTAATTCTTTAATTTAATTCTTTAACGTCAAAGTGAGATTTTTTTCCTAAGAAAAAGCTGACAAATAATTTTTTTATTTTGTAT